AAGCTAAGAAAGGACGCCATATTCAGTTATGGATAGAAATAACTTCTAAAAGTCTTTTCAAGTATATGTCTAAGGCTCTTAGTCTAAGTGGGAGTTCACTAGAGTTCACTAGCTCAGTGGGAGCTAGGTGGCTCAGTGGGAGCTGAATGGCTCAATAAAGACTAAAGATAGCTCAAGTGGGAGCTAACTATTTGTTTCACAACGAACTTTTACCCAAAGACAATATACATGTCTCTTTATAAGCATTCAAGTGGGACTACGGGCATTACCTCCACATCCTAATTGAGAACATAATGTTTGTTGCTCTAAGTGGTGTCTTTCTGGAAAGTAACACGTTTCCAAAACGACAGGTGGGAGGAAAATGAACTCGATGACCATCGAGCTTAGCAACAAACTAGAACTGAGAATCTCGAAAGACCTTAAAGGACTTCATGAGAATGCTTGATCAAGAATACTCAAAAGGACTTTACAAGTGCCTTAAAAGAGAATTCATTACTCACAAAACATTAAAAAAGTTGGAGTAAGATCAACATGATAAAAGGGCTTTGAAAGCGCCTTCAAACTCAGTGTTTGATGCAATTACCCCGTATAGGTATAGAATTCACCAAAGGCTTGGATTGAATCCTATAATTTTTCTATTAAGTTAGAAATAAACCTAAGACTTACAAGCAAAGGAATAATTTCTTTTAAGATAGCTACGATAAATCCAAATTCCGAATGATGGTTAGAGGCCATGAAAATCCAAAATAGACTCCATGTTTGAAAATCATGTTCGAAACTTGATTAATTTGCATGAAGGACGAAAGTTCCATCAATTGCAAATAAGTTTTCAAGGAGAAAACTAACAAATGTGGAAATGTATATGCTTACATAGCTAGATTGGTTGAAAAAGATATAATTAATTTCAAGGAGTTGATTTTAGTAAAAACCTATTCAAAAATCGGAATGCTTAAGTCTTTTCGTGATTGATCTAGCAAAATTGCACATATGAAATATGGCAAAATAGATACAGAAACATAGAAATTCTGATGAACAAGAAGTTTAGTGGGAGCAAAAGTAAAGGTCCAACGAGAAGTTTACAAACTGTATTGGGAAACAACTATCAAATGCTAAATGCTTAGATTTGAAAGTATTTTCGACAATGGACCAAGCTAAAGACGATACTTAGTACATGTTGGGAATTAAGTTCTATGGTATAAACTTAATTAAATGTTCAAATGAGTAAAGGAATTTACCATGTTAAACATGAAGGACCTTGAAAGGCTTTCGACCCATATATGTATGAAGCTAAGTAAATATTTGAACTAAGTATAAGCTAGGCTAAATACTAAGTCAACCAAGAAAGACTCTAGTAAGAGACTTTCAACCATATCACATAGCGAACATTTTGGCAAGACTCAGTGTAACTGAATGAGCTAAATGTCACATGGATGGAATAGAATTGATAATCATTCTAGAATTAAATCCATCATGTAAAGCTATGATATGGAATCTTCAGACGACTTACTTGTTTAGAGCATGTGAAGTACCTATATAATACCAGTCGACATTAATCTAAGTATTAGATCATTAGATTATAGTCAAGAATATCTATACCACTTAAATAAGTAGTTGGATGAGTTCTTGACGCATGGAAACAAATACAACTTGAGTTTTGATGTTGCAAGCACAAACCTTAACAAGGATTAGATCCTTAGCAAGGAATCCATTTATAAGCATGAGAAAAGAAGTGTCGTGGCTTGAGAATGGTAACATGGATATGCATCCATGTATAATGTGCGGAAATTTAAGATAAATTTCCATGATCGTAAGTGATTTGAGTATTCCAAATCATTGTGAGTCATTTGGAGTGAAATCCATGCAAGGCATCAACGGAGAGTCTACTAAAACATATGTTGAGAATATTGTTGCCTTAAAGGCAATATTAAGATAGATGTTAAATGGAAAAGTTCGTAGTTGAACATTGATGATTGTAGGTTGTCAAGTAGAAGGTCTCAAATCATGAAAATGAGTGGGAGCCATTGCTTGAACAATATATCCTGAATCACATGTAATCCATTAACACTCAAAATTTTATCATCTTATTATGGAAATGGTGGATAATGAAGATGCTAAGGTTTGCAAAGTAATTATAACTAAACATATGCAATAAGTGAACGACAACATTCATAATTGCATGAAAGAAATCAAGCATATCAAATATAAGTGTGATTTCTATGAATGTTTTATGAAGAGTACTACTCTTACAACATTTGGGAAAAACCATTTATCATAAGATGAAACATTGTGAAGTTTCATAGTGGAATAAAATATTTCTAAATGTTCCACAAAACTATTTAATTGTGTTTTAGAATTAAATAATGAGTCCATTCGATTTTAATAAATATTCAAAATAGGGTATCAAGTCAATGGCTTGGATAAAGAAACACCTAATAAGTGAACATTGAATATTTTAATCGAAAATTATCCCTAATCAAGGTCATATTTTTTGTGGACGATTAATGACCATAAGAGATTAGTGTGTAGTATGATTTATAGCACCGTTTCTTGTGCTATGAGGATATAAATCATTTGCACAGGTATTGGTTTAGAACCATACTAGATCGACCTATGAGAATACTTTAAGAGATTTAAAAATCGTCATAAGTATTTTTCTCATTATTACTATCGGAACTCTTTTCCTTGACCATGAGTAGTGGGAGGTCTCTTGTTTGAAAACTAGTCCGCTTTGGTATTCGCCAAACGTCTGCGGTAACTGGGGATTATAACGACAGATATCGGGCGGCTAGGTCCTCTTAAAAAGAGAAGCTACATTACAAGACTGGAAATGTCCCCCTACTAACAATAGGGAACATGTCTTGTTGTTTACAAGGCCTCTCGAAGAGCGAGACTGTGAAAATGCATGGCCGTGCTCAAATGGATTTTAGAAATCATCTCCTTATTGACAGTCAAACTCGAATTTCGAGAAACACTTCTGGACGTAACAAAGATGACGAGTAATCTTACCCTGTAGTTCATAAAGAGACATGAAGAGACATAGGAAAGTGGCTATACACTAATTCTGATGGCGGGTTCAGAATTATTAGAAAGCTAATATATTCAGTAAGGTCAAGTGATCGGAATGCCTGGGTGGAGGCCGCTTCCGATCAGTAATATTAATATAATTAATATTACAGCTTAATCTTGACTGAACACTTCGGCTAACACCCAAGCAAAATATACGAACCGACTCAATGAATTAATTCAGAAGAAATTAATTCGTCGCCCGAGTGTTAAATATTTAGACGTCGGAAATTCGAGCTTAGAGCGTCAAAACCGAGCGTCGGAGGTTGAGTAAAAAATAATAAAAAGACGAGACGGCAAATTAGTAACAAATTAAAAATGACCAAAATACCCCTAGCATCGAAATCCCGAGTGCTAGGGGATTAGCTGAGCTAGCAGCCCGCACCATGTGCGAGACATGCTAGCAAGGCGTGGCTAGCAACCCGCACCATGTGCGAGGCATGCTAGCACAGCACGGCCAGCAGCCCGCAAGCAGTGCGTGGCATGCTGGCGTGCGCTACTGCTAGCAGCCCGCACATGTGCGTGGCTAGCTAGCAGCGCCCTCGGCATCAACAGCCCGCATTGATGTGCGTGGGCGTGCTGGGCCGAGCTGGCACCAGCGAGCAGCCCGCACGCTGCAAGGCTACCTGGGTCGTGGGCCTAGGTCTGGTAAAAAGGGGAAGCTAGTAAGTATGCTTGCTTTTTGGTGTGGACAAGTGTCACAAGGAGAGGAAGGAGTGGGAAGCAAGTATGGTCCCCTCCTCTCCTAGTGGTTCATACTCCTCTTTACATATGATTAGGACACTTGTTGATTTATTACTTGCTTATATATTTAATTTAATTTAATTTAGCTTTAAATTAATTTGTGGAATTTCATGAATCCCACATTGATGGGATAGAAATTCCCACTCATACTTTCATCTATAAATACCAACCTTGGGATTTGGAGTAAAGTGCTTGAGTGGGAGTTAGAAAGAGCATTCCTTATTTTGGAAAAACTCTTAAACTCCATTAACACTTCGGTTTTGGTCTGACCTTGCTAACTCCAAGGTAGCGGACCTAAAAAGTTGTGTTCGTCCTTTTTGGGTGGATACCGTTGGAGGCCCGGCATTTGCGGTGCTCAAGGCTTTCAAATAAGAGCCCGTTGTGAGAGGGTGAAGCTCGCTTCAAGGTATGATTCGTTCTTCCTTTTCTTGTGCTTTTTTATTTATGCTTTATGGTCTTATTAATTACGAGTGGTTCCTTGGGTCGGGGTTGTTTCCGCGGTGAGTCGGACTCGCCAAACCCCAATATAAGTAGTGTATAACAACATAGCTGCAGTCAAGTACTACAATGCAAAGTCGATCAAAGCAGACATAAAACACTCTAATTTAACACGAATTACAATATGTATACATAAATGATTGGTCTCTTGGACACTCAAGCCACACAGACAGAAATATTGAACTCCTTCAAAGTCCCACCGGTGTAAGTGTAAGGGGAGGATACAAAATCGAAATCCAAACACCACAAACACAAACGACATAAAACAAATCAAAAATCGATTTATGATTAGAATAAGGTTTAAGATATGAATGTTTAGGCTCAGAGACACACAAATGCGGTCATCAAGAATGCATACTCGCAATTAGTCTCAAACAACTAAATCACAGTAAAAGTGGAAAAGGAAAGTGTATGTAGCAGTGTCATACAGCAGCCTAATAAAACTTCATTGCAAAACTTCTATACCTGGTAACCACAAACAGTTTTTGCCCAATAATTGACTTAGTAGAATATAAGATAGTTTACTAGGGAAAATTGGCTGAAAAAAGGCCATGATAGCAAATAATCGACTAAGTAGTATCACCGCAAAAAAGTGATAACAAACAAGTGAAATCAAAAGAATAGATTAGTAATAAAACCCTTGCAAAAGGAGTGACCCTAGAATAAGATGAATTCACAATTATGACAACAGAAAATGAAAACCATAAAAATCAACACCAAGTAATATGCAAAGCAGATAATGAGTGTGAAACAAAGCAGGTTCCTAAAACATATCACAACAAGACATTTAATTCATTTCAAGTTTAGTCCTTTCTTTTAAGTAACATTCATCAGGTTGACAAATACACAAGTTAAGGAACAACAAATAGAAAAAGAGTGGGAAAAACAAAGAAAAAAAAAAAAAGACCAATTTTGTATGCAGGGAACACAAAACCGCTTGGTTTTACACTTGGTGCACCTCACAAATTCTTCCTTGTCATTCCTCTGGTGCTGATGACACATTTTTGAATCAATTTTAATCCCCTACAACATCAAACACAACAAATTAGCCAGAATTACACATGCAAATCATAAATGTTTGTCATCACTACCTCAACAATATCCAATCAATTAAACCACTACGATCTCCTATTCAATTCATTTTTGGGTCATAATAGATTCAACATTAAGCTATAAAAAAACATTTTATCCGCTAAAAATCACAAAATAAAAAACAAAACCTCAAAATCACGACTCTAATTACAAAAATTAGCTTAAAAAACAGAATAATGAAATCAAAACCAAACAAATAGTTAGATCTCACATGCAGATTAACACATTAATCAAATCAACAATAATTTAACAAAAAACTGAAACAAATCAACAAAACCTAGATCTTCTCCAGTTTAATTGGCTTTAAAAAAATCGAAGAGATAGAACCATACCCATAACGTACTGTGATGTTTTTTTATGAGAATCATCACCACCATATCCACTTCCGAGTAACGAGATTCGTGCAAAAGACATCCTAAATTGGGTCCTCTATCGTTGATACGATTCAGAGGAGAGAGAAAGAGGGGAAATTTTGAGAATTAGGGTGGTGAAAAGGAGGAGATTGAGTGAATTGGGTGAGGTGAATCAGTCGTAGAAGAGAGAGATTGAGTTAGTATAATGAGAGAGGAGAGAGAAAAGAATGGGGGATTTGAGTGATTGACGGCTAGGAGTGTGAAACCCTAATAATTAGTAATGGGCTCCTATTTTCATGGGCTCCTCTTTTCAGCTGGGCCAAATATTTGTAACGGACACATGGTGTCCGTTACAAAAAATATAGTATTCGTAACGGACACCAATGGTGTCCGTTATGAATAAATATTTATTCGTAACGGACAATATTTTACCCGTTACAAATAATATAGTATTCGTAACAGACATCATGTGTCCGTTACGAATAAATATTTATTCGTAACGGACAATATTTTGCTCGTTACAAATGTATTTATTGTAACGGGCATAGCTTTGCCCGTTACAAATAACCCGTTACAAATGAAACTTTTTCCACTAGTGAATTAAGCCGGTGAAACCAAAATTTTGCCTAAATAAAATTTCCAAAATATTTCCTAAATAAAATTTTGCAAGTGCCGTTCAAAATTAAGGCCTAGACTCCAAAATTTAATTAAAATATTTTAAACCTAATTAAAATAATTAAAATTAGCAAAACACAAAATTAACATAGCCCTAATAACCCAAAAGTCCCTAACATTAAGCCTTTCAGCATGTTAGTTAGAGAGCGATACTTGAACGCATAATATCTTCCTTTTGCACAAAAGTAAAAACCAAACAAGCAACATTGCATCATGCATAAGCATAGCACACTTAAACCGTTGGGGATTAGCTCATTGACTAGGGGTCGCCAACACTAGGCTTCTATCCCAAAATCAATAACAATCATCCCACCCATATCACCAACAAAATGTTGGGAGGGTGATGTCATGGGTCAACACGTTAAGTGATTGATTTATGCATGGTTTCTTAAGGTATGGTACCTTTCGACACCCAAGCCTTTTTTGACCTTAGAATGGCATTGCGTGAATCTTGACTTATAACATGCTTATGTGATTATGTGACTATGTGCAACGGGTTAGGATAGTCTTCTTTTTCTTTTTTTTTTTTTTAGTTTGGTCTAGGTTTCCAATTACAAAGTTGTCTCTTCGTGATTTAGCGTCATATACAAAGGATAACCTAAAAAAAAGGGGTCAAATAAAAAAATCGATTAAAAAAACGCTCGAATTAAAAAAAAATACTACGAGCATATGGCGCCCGCAACTCAAGAAGTTGCGCGACCCCTCCCAGCGCAAGTTATTTTGTTGCGCGTGACAGCCACGCCCAACTTAGTAACTTGCGCGCGCCCACTGGACGAGCCAGTTTTGATTTCCAAAGAAACAAATTGACTCGTCCGAATAATATCTTCATTGAAGAATTGTTAAGGGCGATGTTATCCGTTTGAGTATATTTTGCGTCCTTTTTTCTTTTTTTTCTTCTTCAAAAGCAAGCGTATCGATTTACTTATCCTTTCGTACTCCTCTAGGGACGATTTTCAAGCTTGGGAAAGAGGACCCCCTGGCACTCGCATTCTACGTTTACCACCCAAGGATCAACCCTTTTCAAACCACTTTCATTCGATAACTAATCCTAGTCCAACAACAATGACAACTGTCGAAGAACTTCAAAAAGAGATTCTTCGTATGAGAAAAGAAAAGGCTCAAGAGGCCGAGTAGAGGAGAATTAAGAAGATTGAAAATGCTGAAAAGAAAAAAGTTGAAGCATTAGCCTTACAAGAAAAGATGGAGCAATTATCCATCAAAGAAAAGTCGTTAGAGAAGCTAGTTCTTCGTTCTACAATGGGAACAAGTACTTTGACGTAGAAAAAGTTTGCTCCTCCCCCAGGACATGGTTTACCAGAATAATTCGTAGCTATGGACTTGCCAATATTTAAGGTGACCAATACTCCACAAAATCATTTAATGTGTTTTACTGGCACTATGGCTCTAAAGGGAGTTGATCCTAAGCTTTATGCTTTGACTTTCCCTTTATCACTACACCCAACCGCGAGAGAGTGGTATTATGGGCTAGATCCAAAATTCAAAGCAACATGGGAAGATGTAGTTTCGACTTTCATCACCCAATACGAGAGTAACGTAGAGTTCAAGTCAACTTTACGTGAACTCGAGATGCTTAAGCAAGGCGACGATGAAGGTTTTCTTGCTTTCTATGGTAGATGGCGAGAAAAGGCAACCCACCTAGCCCAAAGGCCTCCTGAACTCGAGTTAGTTTAAAAATTCATTGACAATTGTCATGAAAAGTACAACTAAAATCTACGTTACCTTAGTCTAGACACTTTTCAAAAGGTCTATTCTGTGGCTACTAGGATTGAAGATGATCTTGCTAAGGAAAAAGCAAACAAACCTCATTATCATCATCAACCTAAGAATAACTACAAGAAGGGGAATGATAGTGCATCATCCTTTATTAACATATTTGCGACTTCCACGCAATACAATAACACGAATCGATATGATGATCCTAGGAAAAGATGGACAAAAGAGAGAAAATTTACTCCTTTTCCTGTAAGCTATAAAGAATTGCAAGAAAAACTAAATGAAAAAGGCTTACTTGCCCCAACAGGGCCAACACCACCCACTCCACCAGAAAGAGGTTTCCTCAATGGAATAGTAGTGCTTATTGTGCTTATCATTGAGGCGTTGGACATGATACTGAACGTTGCTACGTTTTAAAGCACAAAATACAATATTTAGTAGACTATGGAAGAATTCCCATGCCTAAACCTAACAATAATGCATCCCCCTTAGGGGTGTTTCACATCGAGGAAGACCATATGGGAAGTGACACGTTCAATCCTTTGGACTATATCACACCCATAGGAGAACCTCTATCCACAATACTCAAAGGGGCAACTAATGAAGTATGTGGACTATGGGACGACGACTTTCAAGACTTATATGTCTCTAAGTACGCCGCCGTCCCACCTCCATCTTGTTTGCAAAATGAAACAAATGGAACGCTTGATTGGGATCATTTCTTGGGGAAATCGCATGACTTATCGAATCTCTTCTTTGATGAACAATGGCATCAAGCACAACTCATGGAGCATCTTGAAATGGAGGCACATCCAAAGCCTCTAGAAGAAAGTTGGTTTATGAGTCCTATCTCTAACCCAAATGAGATAGATCATTTAACTCGTTCTGGGCAAGTCTACCAAGCACCACCACCAAATGGATCTTCGACCACACAAAATCAAACTTAAGGTCAAACACAAAATACAATACCACCTCCACTTGAGGTGGAAGATCCATTGGTCAAACAAATTCGCCAATCCAAGGTGAATGTTAGCATTAGGGAACTCCTAAGTACTTATAAAGAACATAGGAATTCTCTCGTGAACGCTCTAACGGTTTTATCTGTAAATACAAACACAACCCCTCAGGATCTCGTTAGCTTGCTTACTAGCGAGAAATCCGACAAGTCAATCGTTTTCACTAATGATGATTTGCCTTTAAAGGTTATTACCCACAACAATGTGTTATACTTAAATGTGGGATGCAAGGGATACAACATCCCTCTAACTTTGGTAGATAATGTGTCGGCTGTAAACGTATGCCCATTACGAATGGCAAATTACTTAGGCCTAAATCTAGAAAAAGATTTCCAATCAACAAAACAAAGCATAAGAGCCTATGACAATTCGAAAAGATCGGTATGTGGAACTGTTAAGCTACCAATTACCACAGGCCCAATTCAAATGATGGTTGAATTCCATGTTATGGACATAAAACCTACATTCAACCTTTTACTTGGACGTCCTTGGATACACGAGCTTGGTGCAATACCATCCTCACTTCATCAAATGATTAGGTTGAACCATCAAGGGCTTCCTATGACAATACATGCTTCTCCACTCAAAACAACAATAAATGATCAATCACTCTTAGAAATAAACCATGATAATGATGAAGAGGACATGTGGGGATTTGCCGTGGAGCCAATCTTCACAATCAAATTGGAAGAAGACTTAGAAGAACCATTCAAGCTTGATCTATATTCCACTCGGATAGTAAACAACATCTTTCTCAAGAGTAGTTACTTTCCTGGGATGCCTTTGGGTATAGGAATGAAGAAATCTCTCTTTTTCCTATCCCAAAGAAAATCTTCTCCTTTGGATTAGGATATAAATGTAACCAAAGAAGAATTGGAGTCTCACGATGCCAAAAACAAAGCACGTAGAGATAATAATAAGAAAGGGATAATCACTTTACTCTCATCGATCCTATCAACAAACCCTTAATGGACAATTCATTAGGGAGGGAGAAGATTACCCATGCTACGAATTTCCGGAACCCTAGGGTGCTATGATGGGCAAGCATTTAACTTGCTATTTGGACTAGAGCAAAATCATGTCGCAACAATGACCAATCTAAACGGCATTCAAGATGAAGCCTTAGACCCAATCTCATTGATCACCGCTTCAAACAAAACTTTTAAGCATGGTAGGAGGAAATCTTTCAAATGGATCAATCATAAAGGCGATAAACTGGCAATCGTCACAGGCGAAGGGAAGATGTTTGAAGAATCGGATGATGAATCTATTGTAGACTCTAGGGAAGCTGAAAGTCTAGGCCTTGTGGCCATTACTGAGTCTTTATTTTCTAGTTCTAAGGATGAAGATCCCAAAAAGGATTCTTCTCTTGATGTACTCTCTTTTGATTTTAATAATATGAGCTCTATTTCCGAGTATATGCCTTCTCTTGAATCTTTCGAATGCTTTAACAATCAATCTAATGAAGATGATAACATTAATAAATTGGTTGAATTAATGAATGAACGAGAACAAAAGAAACCTATTGTTGAAGAAACTGAAATAGTTAATATAGGAACTAACGAAAATAATAGAGAAGTCAAAATAATAACGCTCAAAGAATTCGAAGACGTGTTCGCTTGGTCATACAAGGACACGCCTGGAGTAGATAGGGAAATCGCGGAACATACCATTCCCTTGAACCCTACTTCTAAACTAGTAAAACAAAAACTTCGACGAATGAAACCTGATGTCGCATTAAAAATAAAAGAAGAAGTACAAAAATAGTTGGACGACGGTTTTATTCACGTATGTAATTACCCAAAATGGGTAGAGAACATCGTTCCAGTCCCTAAAAA